GGGATTTTTTTTTTAGGGGGGGGGGGGGGGGGGGGGGCTCTCTCGGTAATGTCCTCGGTAAAGGTTACGGCTCGGCGACGGTCAATAATTTTTCGATCGACGTTGATCGAATGCGATGCAACGGCAACGTGATTTTCCTTCTAATACGGCCCGCGGCTTTTTGCTTATCAACCGCCGCGGCTCCGCTTCTGTTTGTTTTCCTTCTGGGGCCTGATAGGGGCCTGCTGCTCCGGATATCTGTCGGCGAAGATAGAAAACAGCTGGCACCGTTACCGATGCAAAAGTCCCTACGGTTGTGTGGGACGAAGATTTATCGATCGGTGCCGCGGTTGCTTTTACCTTTTCCGTCGTCGCGGCGGCTGTGATATTCGAATTAATAGCAGCGTGGCGGAGAGGGGGGGGGGGCGAGGCGGATTTGTGGATTTTGTGGAAGGTTGGACAAATCGAGCGGGGTAATTATTAGGCCGTGGGTGTTTATGGGGAAATTAAAATTGTCTGCATCGATTTTAAAAGGCATTAGTTCGTTGGAGATCTCTGTTTCGCTTTAGCAATTTTAGCAAGTTGACAAAGATGCATTGATATTTTTCAATTTTTTAATAGCTTCGCTGCTCTGAGTTCCTTTTATTTATTCTCTTGTCGTTCTTGTTATTTATTTATTCTTGTCGTAAGTTCATTGAAACTGCAACCCAATCGTCGTCATTATTTGTATGTAATATTTGTTGCTTAATTATTTATAAAAAGGCTGTCCTCATCGATTTTGACGAAACTCCGATATGTTATGTAGATCGACAGTTCGAACAACTTTTTCCTTTCGACGAAACTTCGATTCACTTTGGTTCTCAAGATATTCGCGGAGAACTGTAGACCTAACCCAGACCTAATGCAAATCTAACCTAGACGTAACGTCTAGGGCATAATCTATACTTGCAACGTCTTCGTAGCTTTAGAGGATGGTTTCTAAAACGGTTTTAACGTTACAAACGGAACGCGGATCGTTACACAAATTCTTATTGCCACAGTTTGAGATTTGACCTTTTGAAAAAAGTTCGTGTTTCAAAAATTGAATTTAAACCAATCAGAAAATTCGTTGTAACGAATCTAAACTAAAGACACTATTCTTAGCACGCCTTCCAGTATTTTATAAATCTGCTCATACTGTCATGATCCTCTCTGCAGTTATCGGTGTAGGTTAGGTCGATGCTAGGTCTCTAGTTTATCGCGAATATCTGCTAAACCACAACGAAACGAAATTTCCGCCAAAGGAAAAAGTTGTTCGAAACATTAAGCTGAGCAATACTTCCAAATTTGATCAAAATCGGAGTACATTCATATACAGGGTGTTGCAAAAGTTAAGAGCTATCCGCAGGGATAAATAAGGAATGGGATTGGTGAAAGAACAATTCGTGCAGCATATCTTTTTTTTACGATTTTTAATGTCGTAACCCTGCCAAATACAATAATAATAGTAATAGTAGCAATTATAATAAGAATCATAATAATGATAATGATAATAGTATTATCTAAAATATGTAACCATCATTTCGATAATAAGATTATCGTCAGGCGTGATGTTGTACCACACAGGACGAACGTGACGCACCGTGCCACGCGTCTCGACGAATAGAATTGATTTAATTAAACGACACAACCGGGACACGGATTTCGTCCTCCGCGATACAAGAAGAATTTCACAGTTTCCGCGCGGGCCGCGCGAATGCATTTAAATACGCGTTTGAACCGTGCTAGTCGCGAAGCAATCGTTCTTGTTTCTCTTTATCATTCTTTCCGTTTCGTTCGTTTGTTTTATCTTATCTTTTTTTTTGTTTATTTGTTTGTTAGGACTTTCTATCGCGACGTGCTGGGAAAAAATGGATCGAGCATGAATCGAAAAACACGCCCAGCCGCGCCGATAACGTTTGTATAAATATATAATTTGTTGTCGTGCGCACGTGATTCACAATATAATAATTAATTCGCTATCTCTCGCTCCGCAATTCCCGTTCCTCGCAACCGCGGCGCACAGGTTAATAATTACACGCTCCGTTTCGTTCACTTTCGACCGCAATAAATAAATTATCCAAATCAGGGACATCGATATATCGATATAACAGTAATAAGATTACAACCACATTTACAATATATATATGTATATATATATATATCTATTATTTATTTATATCTATATCTATATATATATATATATCTATATATATATCTATATATATATGTTGTATATATATAGAGAGAGATTTCTTACCTTTCACACATACATATATATATACATATATATATATATATAATATATATATACCATATTATTTTTTTTTCTGTTTAATGCACTAACGAACCTCCCCTCTGCCGAGGTGCCCGCTCGAATTACGAATAGAGCGACACCGCCGTCCACAAGCGACACGGTTGATTAAAAAAAAGAAAAAAAAATAGAAGTAGTAAAATTAGAAAGTACAAACGTTTAACGTTTCTGTTCCTCCGTCCTCCGTACAGTATAATGCCGTTTCGTTTATACAGTGAATCGGGCGCGCGGCAACGCGTTGCCGCGCCCCCGCGCGACGAAAAGAAAACCTACGCGACGTAATATACAGTGTTTACTCTTATAAAGTAATAGTTGGTGGCGCGCGACGCATCGTCACGCCCTCTCTGAAACTTCGCCGGCGTTCCCGGAGGGTGCGCGCGGACGCCGCGCCGCTCACCGTAGCCCACGCAGGATCTCGAGGTACAAGGAATTCCATGGAAACTCGTCTCTGTTCGCTTGAATTCCGCCGAGTGACACCGCGGTGCGCGATTCACGGAATTCCACTGAGATTCGTTTACGTTCATTGAAATTCTTCAAATTACTCTGCACTGTGTGGTTCGTTAAATTTTATTGAAATTGTATCCGTGCCGAATCTCTGCCCAGTGGAGTTTGTAGAACCCCATTGAAATTCTACTCTTTGCAGTACCGGAAATTCCAAACTTTACATTGGGGGACCAAAGTTTTTCGACTTTTTCTGAACTCGTCCTGTAGATCTCGACCAGAGAACTCCGAAAATGCAAGAATCAATGATAGGAATTCATCGGTTCGAAAGTTACGCGTCCAATTCATAGAATCCTATCGAAATTGTATGGGGCGTTGTTCATAGAACCCCACTGGAATTCCGCGCCGCGCAGTTCGTACGATTCCATTGAAAGTTCTATATACGTTCATAGAATGTTTTTTTAAAGTAGTTCATGGACTCCCATGAATTTTGTTTGTGGGCTCGGTGGACGCAGTCTCCGCGGCCAACTTCAGGACGCCTTCCGGCTGGCCTGATCGGGGAACGATTAGGCGCGGTGAGGTTCAGCGACGAGGGCACGCCACGCGCCTCGCAGTGTCTAAAATCCGTGCGAGATCCGAGAGAGAATTACTGGCCCCCATTGATTATATTATTGCAAAAGAATTATACTACGTTGACCCGGCGCCCGGAGAGCGCCGGATAACTTTACATAACTATTTACAGAAGT